GAGATGCGCATGAAAATCGCATTCGATTTTTTGCACAGCCCTACTCACCACACAGACAGAAAACCATAAAGATAAACCTTTGACACTACTCTTTTGCCATCTTAAAACCATTGGTATATATCTATTTTTTTATTCCTGTAAATAGTTTCCTTTTTTAGATATAGTGGTCAGCTTACTAATTACAATAAAAACAACTGAAATGATTAAAGACTATTGAATTCTTATTTTTAATGTAAGAGCATAAGAGCCATTTGTAACTTGAATGTGCAAAGCTGCTTTTGTCATTCTCATCCAGTTGTTTTAGCTGTACAAAAACAGTCTGTTATGCTGCTAATTTTGTTTTAATGTATTATATTAATCACTGACACTCTGGTTTGTAGCACAAATAGTTTTACCATTAATGGCTCTTTGTTATTATTTTAGTTAGTAGTTTACCTATAGCAGCTAATGAATTGGAAGTCCCGCACATTTAAAGAAAATAGGTTATTTCTGCTTTACAAAATAAAGTCGATAAACAGAACAGAATAGCAAGAGCTTGGTCTAGGTAGGATATGTGGTATGAGTGTTCATATCCCACTGCAGTGTTCAGAATCACAGATATGGCTAGAGGGAGGCCATGATGCTGTGAGCTGACAGATATGCATTTCTTTCTCTCAATCTGTCAGCCTATTGAGAGTGTGTGGCTTTACAGAGAGCCTTCTCTCAGTGTTTGCATTCATTTGTCCTAGATACTCATGTCTGTGAAGTGCTTAGAGATGCTGCTAATATCCGTAGTGTCTGGCTGCTCAGTCAGCTGTGTAATAGAGTTTAGGAAAGGCTATTTCTTCATTTTTTTTTTCTCTCTCTCTTTGGGTTTGTTTGGCATTTGGAGCTTTTGTATGATTGGAAGTATGAGTGTTTTGTGAGTTAATATTTTACTGCATAAAAGGATATTTCATAACTTATGATCACTCTATATTTTATTCTTTAATGTTTGTCTTTGCAGCTCTCCTCTACAAACCTATTGACCGTGTCACTCGCAGCACTCTGGTCTTGCATGTGAGTCTCTAAAATATACATATATTGATTACATGTAGTCAAGTTTAAAACAGTAAGGTCACCTTTACTAAGGCAAATGCACAGGCTACTATTTTCCTGACATCACAAATTCATACTCAGCCTGACATTATTTCAGCATGACTGAGGTTGCAATTTATTTTTAGTAAATCTCTATTTGTACTGTATGAGTGTTACAGTTCAATTAGGTTAATCAAACCCAGTAGAGATTTGGTTGCCGTCAATCAAAAAGAAGAGTGTTCTATGCCATAAGGAGACAGTCAGACTACCAAATTCTACTTGTCCTATCCTTTAAAATACCAGTATCAACATGTCAAATTTGCTTTTCTTTATGGATCTTAAGGTCATTATAAACCCAGATGTCAGTAGTAGGTGGTTTCTACCAAAAATATATAATCAAAACATGTAAAACCTGCATGAGAGAAACCTTTGAAAATGGATAAAAATACTGCCAATACGTTAGTTGAAAATTCAACTTCCACATATGTAGTACACTATCATTATTTTGTGGGGGGAAAAAACATTAATTTGATGACAAGTGACAAATGATTTTTATTTCAAGTTAATACTGTTCTTGTTGAGTCTTTCAAGAATCGTGAAAAATATATATATTTTAATAAATTAAGCAACACAAATTAAGCAGCACAACTGTTTTCAACATTGATAATAATAAATATTTCTTGAGCACCAAATCAGCATATTAGAATGATTTTTGATCATGTGTCAGTGAAGGCTGTGATGGCTACTGAAAATTCAGCTTTGATTTCACAGGAATAATTAACATTTTAAAATACATTAAAATAGAAAACAGTTACTTGAAATTGTAGTAATATTTTACAATATTGCTACTTTACTGTATTTTGATATATATTTGAAATAAATTCAGTCTTTTAACAGTAGTGTCGATTTATCTTTTTTATTTAAATAGTTGGATTATCACTTAAAGAATAAACATAAAGCTCAGGTATGTTGCCTGTTTGTTTTATTTTTTCAGGACTTGTTGAAACACACGCCTAAGGATCACCCAGACTTCCCACTACTGCAGGATGCTCTGAGAATATCCCAGAACTTCCTGTCCAGCATCAATGAAGAGATTGACCCGCGCAGGACTGCCGTGACCACACCGAAGGGAGAGGTGTGTGACTCTGTGTGTTTGTGTGACTGACAGAGGAGGAGTATACAGTATACTGTATTTTACATAAACAATCCTCTACTGTAAATGCAAAATTATAGAATGAGGCCTTTTTAAGGCAGTTGGTTGATCAGTGCCTTTATAAAAGTGTTTTCACACCTACTTTATTAATAGCTTTAGATTTGGCACCTGGTTTGTTTTCTTTCTAAGTTTTGGTTTGTGTAAGCATTTATGAACACACGCTCATTTACATGGACAACAGAAGGTGGTTCACTTTCAATTAGTATTTTTTCCCCCATGTTTACATGTACATGTAAACATACAGTACATACATACAATGCTGCTGTAAATAATGAACATAGCATCTAGGGACTACTTTGTTATTTTTGTTCTCTGCTGTTTTGCTTAAAGTGATATAAAAGATGTAAAAATAAATTGTATAATTGGAAAAAAAGATATAGATTGAACTGCATTGCTTTTTCTCATGATAATGATCTATTTAAGTCCACATGTCATACTAACAGGAACCTATTCATATAACCACAGGTTATGCTGTAGTAAGCTGTAGTTCTAACCACACAGCTTTGTAATGCTGGCTTTGACTGTTCCAATATGGTGGACTGCTTACATATAGTGGCCCATAAAACAGCCGCTAATGAGGCATCTATGCATGTATATCTGTGGTAGTAGCTACATACTGCTTCTTTTTTCTTTTTATGATTGGTGGCAAACAGGTGCAATAGCGCCACCTACTAAGTGTTAACCACATTATTGGAGCTGCATTATTTACAAAATTATACTGTTTGTGGAGTATTAACATTATCACCAATACCAGTATATTGCCACACCCCTAACTGTAATAATTTACTTTAACAAACCACAATGTGTTCATTTTCAAACATAAATTCTTCAAATTCTCTTTTGTTTGACATTTCTATGTTTTCATAAATGCTCCTGACCTCTAACTGTGACTGTTTGATGAGCTTATCTTGCTGATGAGCACATGAGAGTAGTGGTCGACCGATATGTTGCCAAGGCCGATATATCATTATAATACTTTCACGTTTGCCGTCAGCATCAGCAAATACGCATTAATTTAATTTAAACAAATCTTTGAATGAATAATGAACATTTAATTTCACA